GGCCGGACTTGCACAAGCCACCCTTCTCCTGCTGCTGCCCGACTCCCCCCCCATACACACACATACACACACCTGGTTGGCCTCCCTCTTTTTCTCCTCTTCCTCTGAAGGGGAGGAAGAAACACACTCGCACACAACCATGGCAACATTCCAAACGAAACCAGTGCCCTCCCTTCTCTTTCCATCCGGCCGGTGTCCCGCTTGTTTCCACTTAAAGCAGTCATCCTAGTAAACAAAGCCCAGGACCCGGAGGAGGAGCACGGAAGAGGACCGAGGACCAGGAAGGGGGCAAAGCCCTTCGCAAAGTCGGTGGACAAAAAAAGGCACTCTTGGCTTATCCATGTTGATCATTCTTCCCAGCGTGCTTAATAAAAAGTCAAATTCCTTTTTTCCTTCCCTCTTTAAGGTCCATGATTTATTTTTATTTTTATTTTTTTTCCATCCATCCGGAGGGTGGCTGTGATTTTTCCTCTTGTTTGTTGTTGCTTTAATGGATTTTAAGTTAGCACTTAATTATTCAGTCAGCTTTGTAGGGCAATCTTAGATAAAATACCTGCTCATGAGTAAGACCCACTGAGTCCAGCAAGCCTTTCCTCCCAGGTAAGTAAGTGGGTATAGCAACGCAGCCTCAGGGGTAGGGATGGGGTTTGTCATAATTCAAGGTGGGTTGTTGTCCGGGGTAAGTCAGTGGAGATGCTAAGGTTGTGTCCTTAGAAATAAGTTCTCCTGGTTTCTTTGGGCCTTATTCTGACACTTGTAATTAATCTAAAATTTTGGGTGCCACTTTAGGCCACTGGGAGTCTGTGCTGAGGCACCACGGCTGAGTAGGTCCCATTGAATGCAACATTAAAGTGAAAATGTAAAGCAGGGGTGGGCAACTTGCAGCTCTCCAAATATTGTTGACTGGCAACTCTTATGCTTTGCTGTTAGCTGATGGTTGTTGCAGTAGGATATCTGGGTGAACTGCAGGTTGTCCCCTGTGATGGCACAATGTGTCTGGAGTGGTTTACGCAGTTACCTGTCCATAGATTGGGTGCATATGGTGGGACTTAATGGAAACTAGATGTACGCACCAGATTACCCTATAGCAGGTTCGACTGCACTATAGTTTCAAAAAACATTTCCCCCACCCCCGGTATTTCAGGCAAGCTCCTGGCTGAAATAGATGCTCTTATTTGTGTTCATGACTACAAGAAAGTACAGAATCAGGCAGCAGTATATGTGTTCCAATTGAATATGGTTTTCAAGGGTGTAGATTTATGTCTAATTTGTGCCAGGAAAGGTACAAAAGGAGTTGGTTTCTTGTAGTCATTTGGGATTTGGCCGGGCACCTGGTGCTAGAATTGCATACTGGTTGGGCCAGGTTCCTTTGCCTTTTTTAAAAAAAACAAGAAACACACGTTCTGCTGTTGCATTTAAAAATATTTGGCATGGATTCGCTGTATGTCAGAGCTTGGCAAAATTATTTCAAGATAGCACTCCCAGAATCCTGTACTCAGCATGACTAATAGATTCTGGGAGTTGAGATCCAGTAAAACAACTTTCCCTGTCTCTGTAATATGGTGTCTGACTATTGCGGAATGGGACAGATGTGTTCATTAAGACCCCTCCCTCCCTCCTTTCTTCTGTCTCCATATAATTTAAACTATAAAGAGCTTGGCAGTTTGGCCCTGTGCAGCTCTATTCAGCAACAAGACCCACAGGGGCCTGTGGGACATGGTCCTACATAAAAAAAAAACAAGGAAGAAACACCTGCGTGGTATTTAGCATAACCTTTCATGGACTGTAACTCACTTCTGGTGAAAAAGTGAACTACAGTCTACAGAAGTGTGTGTTGATCTTTTAAGGTGGTGAAAGGCATTAAAGCAACAATCTTGGACATTTTGGAGCAAATATATGTAAGGTTGCAGGGCAAGTGTCATACAGTTCTAACAGCAAACACAAAGCTGCTGATACTATTCTCACTTTCTGATTTCATTTAATGAATGACAGTTTATTAAACAAATGATCCTTGAACTCGGATCTCCAGCACAGCTGCCAAATCCAAAATAAATTGTGTTTGCTACTGCAGTGACCGGTGGCACAAATCCTGCTTCTGAGCTGCAGGAGGGTATTCTGTGTAAACCTGAGCATTCCTTACAGACTGAGTCTGCATCGTAAAATAATTGTGCCCATAATCCATTATTATATGCTGTAGACTAGAGAATGGGAGTAAGCATTTGTCTTTCAAGTCAAAAAGTTTATATAGAGATGTAGAGCACACTTTGAGACTGGGTATTGTGCTTTTTAAAATAGTGATGGGCCAAGAATCTTAAACCATTGCTTGTTTTATGGTGGAACCTTTTCTCTTTGTGTTTCCAAAGAGTGGGAGTTTAGCTATGCTTGTTCACTGCAGGAGAAACAAGAAAGAATATTGAGTCATTTTAAAGGCTCATATGTTTTCTTTAGCACAGACTTTTGTGAAAGCTTATGCCAAATAGAACTTGTTAGTCTTTAAGGAGTCACAAAACTGTTGTTGCTGGTGGTGTGGTTTTCTTGTTTATTTGTTTTGCTGTAATGCTTCTGTTCCTCCACTAAAACTGATCATGTTTCCCTGATCTAAAGTGGAGCAGGGGAACTTCTTGTCTTCAGATGTTTTAGAGTTCACCTCCCAGAAACTCCAGCCAGCTTTTGGGTCAACGGTGGGAGATTCAGCCCAGTATCATCTAAAACCATTGGAGGGTCGGACTTTTCCCACCCTCTGTACTAAGCAATTTCCAGCAATCATGTACTGTTTTCTGGGACTAAGTCCCATTGCACCGAGCAGAATTACCTTCTGAGCAAGTCTGGCTAATATCGTCCTGCACAGTGACCTCTATTGGTATTCTCCATAAGATCATGCTGGCACCTGCAACATTTGTGCCACCCTTTTAATGGTGGGAATAGGGAGTTGGTGATCTGCTTCTTTTTCTAGAGACCAAAGCTGTTCTGCAAACAACAGCAACAACAATAATAATACATATAATACAAAGTGCCTCTTCCTCCAAGGGCAGAAACTTTTAAAGACTGCAATCCTATAAAAATGTTTCTGGGAATGAGTCCCACAAACAGCCAATGCAGCATACGTTTTAATAAGGTCATATAAGAACTGGATAGCTCAGTGGTTTAAGTGTCTAGCTGCAGGGCCAGAGGTTGGGAGTTTAGTTCCCTGATGTGCCCCCTTGACCGGGGCTGGCCTCGATGATCTATAGGATCCCTTCCAGCTCAGCAGTTCTAAGGTTATTTTTATTGTTACTATTATAAGGCTGCACTGTTGTCACTCTGGGAATTCTGACTTAGGACTGAAGTGCAACACATGGAGTTGGAAATTGCAACACTCTGTTTGATTGGAAATAAGTCCCAGTATATTTGGTGCAGAGCGTAGAGAAGTTAGTTTTTGAACTCTGAAATTTCCCTAGCAGTGCGGCGAGTGGCCATACTGGGTGGATGATTCAAGGAATTAAAATCCAGTAAGGTTTTGCCAGATATTGGTCCAACAGCAATTACTTCCCAGAAAGCAGTCATAGAGGAATGTGGTCTTGGAGTGCAGTCTGTGTCTGCTCAGATGTATGTCCCATGTTGGTGTACTTAGTGGTGTGCATTTCCAAGCTACTGGCATATAATGTTAGCCTTGCAACACAGTGCTCTTAGTGTCTGCTCAGACATTAACCCTACTGAGTTCCGTAGAGTAAATGGGCATAAGACTGCAGCCCCATTGCGCTCAGTGGGACTTACTGCCAGATAAAGTGGGGTAGGATTGCAGCCTTATTTGGAAATAAACCCTATTGAAAATACTGGGATTTAATACAGCGCAAATCACCCATGGGAATGGGTGAGAGACAAGTGTAATGTTGTTTATTTTTTCATAAATGCTGTACATCATGCTTAATGCTTTGTTCAACTGTTCCGCCTTAAATCTTCTCCCTTTGGTGGGGCCTATGCAGCTGAAGCCATCTGTGCATTATTGAAGCCATGGATTGCTGCATATCACACAGCCATTGTGTAACTCGTGCTGTTTGTTGCAGTAGACTCCCTTGCGCAACAATTTTCTGCAGGGAAGGAGGGAAGTGAGTGGATGCCAGACAATAGCTGTTCATTATTTATAGTTCCACTTTGACGAAGCTGCAAGTGGATCATTGCTGAGTGCGCCTGGAAAGCCAGACTGATTTACAAAACTGATTTTATTAAGTTTAGGCCAGAAGTGTATCCCCCAAAGAGGAAAACAGCTTATTTATAGGCTCCTTTTTCAAGCCTCTGTTCTGTTTCATTCATTGTAAATGTGGCGTAAGTAAGAAAGGGATGTAAAAGACATATTCTGAAACACACCTTTGCACCTGTTTCACAGTTACCTATAGCAAGCTGCATCTATTCAGTGCTAAATCATTCTTTTGTATATACCAATCATTAAAACGTTATTTATAAAAAAATTAGATAAATTCCTTACCAAACAAGAGAGTGAAATGCAAAAAATACAAATTCCTTTGTCTATACATTCTTTCTTTCTCTGGTGCAATAGTCCCTGGGTTTTTGAATATTAGCAGGCATCATAAACTTTATTATCAGATGGCTGATTTTCTTGAACATTATTGAAAATGTGGATGGATGGATGTACTAAAATAATGTCAAGAACAATATAGGGAATGTGAAAATAACCTTAGAATTTGGATTGGCTAGCTGTTTTTCATACTTTCTGATATATGGGGAGCAAGGAGTTTTTAAAAAGTGGACCGTTGTCTTCCTTTAAAAACCTGTCTATGCACATATATTTAGAAATACATTGATTGCACCAAGTCAAATTGGCCTTGACTGATTCATACATGCCTGCTGATTGCTTGACGATGGGCAACACCAATTCACTTGTATGGGTGTCTCTCATATTACTGCCAACATCTCACTTTGCAATTATTTCTGAGCAGACATGTTACAGTTAGTTATTGCTGCTCTGTT